AGGACCCCGAGCGCCCCGCGGAGCCGCTGCCGGTCGTCGTCGCTTGGATTGCCAGAGCCTCATGGTCTCCACCAACAGCTGCTCCCTGGGCGGTTTCGCCCGAGAGCCCGGCGGGCGGCACAAACAGATCCCGCGCAACCTTTTCGGAAGGTTTGGGTTTTAGGGTTTTTGAGGCTTCGTTTCTGAGGGTTTAGGATTTACCTACTTCAAGGCGACAGGGTAGCTGTGAGAAAAAAAGAATTACTGTGAAGACTAGACTCAGTACTCAACCCAGTTCCTGCTCAGTACCAGACTCTTAATTTTGGGGCGGTCATAAACGAGCACACAAAATCATACCATGTTGTGGGTCGGAACGCTTCAGAATTAACAGATTTGACACTCTGCTGTAATTTCACATTCAGAATTGTTTAAGAGTTATCTTAAAGGAACAGTCATGTGAATGCATCACAAGGTGTAGGCAATTTACACATGTCTTGCCTACGTGCTCCAGGCGTCTGTGGAACTGCAAATCAGAGACCAGGATGGTCTTGTGATGCCAAGGGAGAAGGTCTGGAAGGGTGCTTCTATCCACCATGCGCCGAATAAACTACAAACGCGAGAAAATGAACAGACCATATCCAAAGGCTTCATATGAAAGCTAGTTCTACTTACAAAAGCCGACCCTGGGGACCACCTACACTCTTCATGAACAGAACTATTGCAACAACTTTTCTACGTTAGCAAACCTCTCTCTCGGAGGGGAGGGAAAAATTCCAAACTCCCAAGAGTGCATCTTATAAAACTTTATTTTCTATTAGAAATAATACATTGAAAAGTTAACATGAAGTTGGTGAGATCGCTTTTCTTTGTTTTGGAATCTACAGGTATTGGAGGAGACGAAATTCCTCCCTTGAAATTTGAGATCCATAAGTGATCGATCAGTGGCCAACAAAGAATTTCACAGACTGAATCTCAGGCTCCTGGGATCGTCCAGATAGGTTTTTATATAAAATTTGTAAAGGTTACAATAACTTTCAAAGTATTTGTTGCATATGCCATGTGGCTCACTGTTATCAAGGATTCTTGAACTGTTGCTATTCACTTTGAGAACTCTGGGTTAAAATTTGCCTCTTTTATTCTGCCTTTTTTTTTTTTTTTTTCTCCCCTGTATGAGGTGAGCAAACAATTGCTTAAATCTTACCAGGTGAGTTCTAAAGTGTTAAGACTGGAGTTTTTTCTCTAAAAAAAGGAAAAACCTCAATGATAATTTTAAGTAGTAAGTATAAAGTATTTTGTCTGTATAGCCTTTCCTTGGTTATAGAATATAAAAATATAACATGATTATAAAAACTGAAACATTACACAAAGACGTAATGTAGAAAGTCCCTTGAAATCTCATACCCTAAAGATCATAAACAATAATTAAGCCTGTGACCATAACACATTTTCATTGTACTTAATATCTTCCATATGCAAGCATAGCATTACCTAGTTGTGATGATAGCACATCTACTATATGGTCTTGTTTTGCCTTTGTGTTTCCATCCCTCTACTGTATAACATAGGGATGTAGGAAATTAACTTATTTTGGATCATTTGTCCATAGTTAGCACATCCAGTGGGTTAAAGATGCAAAATCATCGCTCTAGGACTTTTTTACTGTCATCTTTCCAGTCACTGGTTACATCCCAAAGCTAGGAATCCCCTCTCCACACCGGTCCTTTGCCCTGCACTCCCAACTCTTCCAAAATCTGAGCTCTCAGGTAAGTAATCCCCTCCCATATTCGCCAACTTCTCAAAGCTTTTCAGAAATACAGGCCTTTGACCTAGCAGGATGTGGGACCACATATTATATTTTAGTGTTTAATTTTTAATTGTAATAGAAATGTAACTTAGGAAAGTTTAAATACTTCAAAATATATATGTAAATACAGGATTTGCTCCTAAGAAGGTAGTACAGCAACAAGAGGGACAACCTACGTCAGAAGATCTACTTTATGTCCAAACCACAGATAAGCTATTTTGACAGTCAACATTTGGCTGCAATCATAATGTGTTATGTGCATGTATTTTTTAAGTTCTAACATCTTCTGCATGCATTGTATAAATCTGAATGAAAAAAAAAAAACAAAAACAGAACACATCTACATGTAACCAATAAGTAAGAAACTAATTACCAACAACACAGTAAGGAAGTTTGTTCTATAAAACTGTTGCTCAAATAAAAAATTATTGTTGATGTTAGCATAGACCTAATACTACTTTTTTCAGATTCCTAGGTTTATAAGCAATATGGCTAACCACAGTTCTTCAGGATCATTATTAAACTTAACTTTTAGGAATTTTAACCCCAAATGTTCTAAGAAATTGAGTAACTGACCTTTTCATCCCTACTAAAAAAGCCTCAATGTGAAGTTGCCAGCTATCCTACAGGAAACTGAATCACCACACCAAACACACCTAAATGTCATCAACGGCTAGCAAGACAGAAACAGTGAGTTCATTTAATTTTGGATTTTACCAAGAACACAAACTGTATTCGTTAATAAAATACTTTTCTCCCCAGAGAGCAGTGTTCTGTGGCACTACTTGAAAATATAGGAAAACTCTTCTATTTAATTGTCTAATATCTTGCTAAATCAAGGAACTAAAGGGAGAAAAACTCCCAGACAACAACTGTTGGATAAATTCCATAAAAACTATGAGAGATGTATCGAACAGCCACTGAGAAATAACTTGAGCCTTTGGAGGTCCCCTCCTACAGCAGCATTGGTTTTCTTCAAGGAACCCTTGAACTATGTAACCCCCGTGGCTCTGCTCAGGATCTTCTGTGAACAAACAGTTCTCAATTCTCGCAGGCCAGCACTTGGCTTCCGTCATTGTGATGCGATCAAGGGTTCCCCTGACACATGGCCTGAAATGGTGCCAGGGCGTTCTATGAGAAGATGCTGAAGCAGCAGCTTCCCTTTGAAAAGGAAAAACGTAATTGCCTCAGAGCCACAGCAGTTAGCTAGAGGTTGAGGTCGTTTTCTTGTGAAATGTTCAGCCAATTACTCTTACCCACAACTTACAGTGATGTTGACCACTGAGGTAAAAGGATCCACACGCTACACGATGTGTGACTGTATAGATGTTGGTTTCTTTGCCAACACTTGAATGAGTATAGGTCTATATGAATTTGTCAAAATTCCTAGATAGGCCTATTGGTGTAAATAAAGGACAAAAAAATCACTTACTGTGAACACCATTTGCTTACACTTAATTAAAAAAATAATGTTAACAGTTGATTTAGATTTTTCTTAAAATTAAAAAACAAACCAACAAAACACTTCACTAAACAGCTCCTAAAACAAATACCTATATATCTTCCTAACCAGTTCCAGCTTTGCCTCTACTAATTCTCACCAAAATTTCTATTTTGTTCCTAAGGATGGAGTTCATGGTTTCTGAAGTAGGCAGAACTGGAAAATTACGATTTCTATTTCACCATGTGTTGCTTCAAAGTAAGTCGCTCCCTGAGTTCACTACAGTAAAAGATTTGTGCAGGTTAGCTCTAACTTTTGCTGACTTATTTTTTTTCTCTATGCATTTTATCTGATGGGAGATACATAAAGGAGTTAGATTCACTTTCAATGTGTACATGTAACAGGTTTAAGCAGAGCTTGCTAGTGGCAAGCTGCTCTCATGTCCAAGTGTATTTCTGGCATCAAAGTTCTTGTTTTGAAGTATTTTAAAATCTTACGAAATATATAAAATCTCAGTGCTTCAAAAAACTTCCAAAGGGAAGAGGTACACAATTTTGTGAGTTTTATTTTCCCTTTTATCTTCTCACTATCTACATTTTTTCCACCCAGTGCTGTGCCTAAGGCTCTAGTAGCATTTTAAAATGAAATAAACAGATTTGGCTTCAATGACTTCTAGGGCCATCAGTAATTCAACAAACATTAATTTAGCACCAGCTATATGTCATGTGCTTTATTAGAGCCTGCAAAAACAAGATGACTAAAAGAGTATGTCCCTTATCTGAGGAAAGCCTAGAGTCCAGTAGTGGAGCAAATTTTAGTGTACTATACTGTAGACAGC